ATCGCAGACTTTTCCCATATTACAAAAGCGCTGTCCCTGGGATTTGAACATAGGATCTTCCCATAACGTTTGGTAAGGGTGACAACTAGACCACTTCACTAAGTCGTCACACCTCTAAATAATTATATTAATAAAATTTTGTATACTAGTATATACTATATAAAATTTTAAAGTTTGTATTTTTATTACTTCTATTATTTCTGATATCTTTATTATTTTTTTTACTTATTTCTATTACTATTAGCCACATAAAATTAATTGGTTCTCATAAACCGGGTGAATCAAATTTTGAAAATTTTTATAAAAAATTTTTGTTTAATAACCGGGTAGGTTTTTAAAAATCTTTTTTTAAATTGTTATATATAAAATTAAAAAAAAGCTAACTAGCCAAGTTTATTTAAAAAGTTCATGTTACAAAAACCATTAAATTAAATTGTGTGGCCTAAAATTTTTTAATTTTATTTTTTTAATACAGTCAACTCTCATATAATCACCTTATATAGTCACCTATATAATCACATCATATGTAATCACGTTTTGTTTATGCCAAATTATAAAAAATATCTTATAAGCAGTGTTTAAAATTCAAACTTAAACTTATGTTTTCAAAAGAGCTTAATTTAAACTATTAATGTTCTTAAAATTTTTTGATGTTCATTATAATATATTATAATAAACATTAATTTTTTAATATTGTTTATAATTTAATAAATTTTTTTATAAAAACTATATAAAGTACTTAGAATTTTTAAGTACTTAAAATAATAATTTATTATTACAATGCTTTTTTTTTATTATTGTCTTTCGGAATTGAACTAACCAAATACAGATTTACTGTTAACTGTCTTCAGAGCTTATTTCAAAGCCAGTTTTAGCTGCACAATGGAGCCAAGCCGATGAGCTACAACTTAAGCTATAACTTGATATTGCAGCTTTTAACTAAATTATTTTTTAAAGTCATAGCTAGTTATAGCTCTAGATTAAACCACAATTATTGAAGCTATGACTTGTGTTATGGCTAGAGGATGACTTGGCTATAACTCAAGTTGTGGTAAATAATATTTGTATTAAATATTATTATATTGCTACAATAATAATGATTTTGAAACAATATAGTATTTAAAGAGGCCATCTAACTCTAAAAATCTTTAATGTGTTGAAATTGGTCTGCAAAACTCTTGCCATATAATGTCAGGTTTTCACATAATATTTCAATTAAGTATTCTCTTATTTAATCAATTGAGCATTATCAATCAATATACATATTAATTAATTTCTCATTTCAATTTTTATTTATATGATTTAAGATTCTATCAAGCATATAAATTATAGGCCAGAACTTAATCTTTAATTGGTGAAAGTAGTTTGAGTAGGTTCATTATTATGATAAAAAAAAAAGTTTGAAGCCATCTTTTTTTGTCAAACTTCAGATTGCTTCAATTAATCGTAGTACTTATACATGATTTCAATGGCTATCTAATCACATTGAGAGCACCCTTAGTCTAAGTTTAGTGATTATTCATTGGTCTAATTGGTCTACATATTTAATTTAAGCTGTTCACATCTTTTTTAGCTTCTTATTCACATTATTCTGTATTATTATCATCTGCCAAGAACATTTCTAAATTATACAAATTATTATGAATGGATCCATACGGTATAGGGTGTGAAATACTCATATTTTTAATATTTGTTCCGCTGTTACGTATTAGAAAATTGTAATAGATTGTTATGATGTGTGCAATTTACACTCTATACTATATACAGTATACCTAAAAATCATATAAAATTTTTTGGTTGTTTAAATTATAGTTTCTTATATCAATATAGTTATGCTGTATTTAGTTGTATATTTATCTGAATTTTAAAACTATAACTTATATAACTATTCTGTATTGGAGTTGTCCATCATTTTTTCTAAATAAAGCTTATATTCATGACAATGTCGTATAGCTACTTTAAATATATGTTGTATATATAATATATATATATATATGTATAATACATAGGTATATATCACAGTTGAAAACTGATAAGCAAAAATTTATATTAAAATTAGAGCATTATTGTTCTCATTAATAAAATTGAGAACATAAAATTTTATAAATGTTCTCTTCGAGAACATTTTAAAAGAACAAAATGTTCTTAAATAAGAGAACACTATTTTAATATTAATGTTTTTAAAAAAAATTGTATGTCATTGAGAACATTGAATTTTAAACACTGCTTATAAGCACAACCACTTTATGTAATCACGTTTTTTAAAAAAATTACTATGTGTAATTATATAGAAAAATGCCTATTATCTTGTATTAAAATAATTCTAAATAAATTTATTATAAATTTGTTTAATATAAATATATACTGTATTTTTAGTAAATAATCTAAACTATTTGCATACTGCTATAAAATTTATAAAATTAATAATATAAAAATCCACTCACCAAAATCAGAATGAACAAATACAAGAAATAGGCTTATTTATTTAATAACCAATTCAAAATTAAACCTCTTTCTAAAACGCATCTATAATGTTTTGCACCTATTTATACATTCTATCAAAACTAGCTAATTAATTAGTGCGAGGTATTCTAAGTAAAAATCCTTCCAAACTCTAACCTTAACCCTAAATACTAATCTAATATTATGATAAAAATTTTATTTACAAACTTAAAAAAAAAAATCCAAAAACCATAATAAAAACATAATAGGTGCGTTTTATAATTATTGAAAATTAATATAAACAAAAAATTTTATATAACCAAAATATACCGTATTTGCGCGTAATAACGCACATGGGCGTTATTTCGAAACTCCATTTTTTTAAAATTTGTATTTTTTTGACTCAAAATAACGCCCATGCGCGTCCTCTCAGATATACCATATTGCATATTTAATCGAAAATTTCAGCCTAAGTTCATTAATTAAGGCAGGGCTTCCTTTTGTAACCCAAATTTGTCAAAATGATTCGAATTACCGCGCATACACGTCCCGGAATAACGCGCAGGGTCGCCACATAACGCGCACCTGCGCGTTATTACGCGCAAATACGGTAATAACTCAAAAATAATTAATATTATTGTTAGTATGCTTTATTTGTATTAGCTAGATTATTATTGTGCTGTTGATTAGATTGGCATTAGACAATAAATGTTACAAAAATTTTATTGCATAACTAAGATTTTTTCATTAAATACTGAGTATAAAACTTCATATGCGAGAATAAAAGTATGTTAGCAGTATAACCATCTAATTATCGTGAGTAGGAAAAGTTCCAACAATGTATATTTGATATGGCATATGATTAATTACATTTATTAATGAGCAAAAATTTTTATTTAAAACCAGAAATCACCTTCATTATATTATTTTGCTGATGAGGAAAAATACATTTCAACCTGATTAACCAACTCATCTTTTTTCCTTGCTGGATTAATTCCGACGTTGTTTAAGAAGTCCTTTAATTGGGTCACAGTAGCCTTAAAATAATGAAATAGTAGGTGGCATTAGATGATAATAACAAATTAATGGATAACAAAAATAGACTTACCTTTGACACCTGCAAAATATAAAAAAAAACAAGTTTATGAAATAAACGAAATAAAAATTCCTAATTGATTAATAATATAATAGTTGTACCTTTCCAGATTCATATAAAGTTGAAATATCAGCTTGTGATCCCTGGGAAGACGCAAGAGATTTAGACCCTCTAGATGATGCTCTATTAGATCCAATGGTTTCTGAGTCCGTTTGGCTTAGATATGATTCTTGACTTTTAATATCCGCTTCCGCATTGAAAACTTTAATGTATTCACCGGCGCGCTTTAATAAAGTACAATATATATATATTTTTTAAAATAATGTTACCATTAAATTTTAAATGAATTTGACATTAAAGCAAACCTTGCTGATTGCACTATATTTAGGCAAAGTTGCGTCATTTGTTTCTGGTTCAATATCTTTGTTTAGAGCCATGTCCTGTAGAACATTGAAAAATCGGTTCAAATCTAAAAACAAAATAATGGTTAACATTCAGTTCAGTAATATTCATTTATAATTATTATTGTAATAGTGCACAAAATAAAACTTGCGTGGATTTGGGAATTGGCTTGGGTTGTAGCCACCCTTCATTTGAAGGGTTGAAATTATTGGCTTAATAAAATCGACCATTGTATCAGGTGCTATTTGATAAAAAATAGTAAATATTGTAAATAGGATAAAATTTTAATTCTCTTAATAAATGTAAAATAGCATAATAATTTATAAATAATTACCAGCGGATCTTATTTCAGCTTGAGGTGGAAGAGGTCGCATATCATCTGCAAATGGAAGACTAATCATATTCATACCCGGAGGCTGGATTTGCAAACCATTTTCATCGAGAAGTTCAGGCTTAAATTATAATTATTTAGTCAAAAATTTTAAATCGTAAAACTAGATTTTAAAATATTTAACTATCGTACTTGAGCCTTTAGGGCAACAAATGTAAAAGGAGTTCCATTACGAATTTTTGCAGCACATAAGGCGATTTTATCTTTTTCGAGCATCTTTTTGTGTAAAGCTGCAAATGTTCTTCTACTACCTTCATATTGCTGACATCATTCAAGAGTTAATTAGAAATAATGATGACTTCAATAATTATATTATAAGATCCAACGCTCACTTCTTCATCAGGATATATGAAATATGGGTGTGTAATATTGTAATGATATTTAAGTGCACTTGCAGGTTTAAATCCAATAAGTGTTAAACCTATATAATATAGAGTAATTATAGTTATCAAAATAAAGTTTAATGTCTTATTTGTCATAATTACCTTTTTCACCGAAATCTCGAATTTTTGCTATTTCCTCCCTTGTAAAGACAACCTTTATCGAAAGTATTTAAATAATTTTTGAAAATTATAAAGTCTATGTTATATATAAAAGTATAATTTATATGTACAAACCTTTTTGCCACCATATGAAAAATATTGTTTCATATCTTCAGGCATTAATTCTTGAGCAGTGTCCTAAGACAATAAGATAATAAAAACGATATTAATTAAATATTATCAATTAATTAAATATTTATAATATTTAAAAAACTCAAATCTTATTACCGCGCAAATCCATTTTGTCTTTGTTTCAACAAGACGTGTCGTCTCAGCTCTCATATGAACTAATTTATGTTGAGGTTTCACTCTTTCAACTATCGCCGAAAAGCTATATAGTATAAAAAAGATTTATAAAATATATGATATAAAATAAATTATGATGACATCAGCATTTATTTACCCTTTGATTCCGATTGTTAGACCTTCACCTTCAAATAAGCGAAATGGCAGAGAAAATATAGATCTCCTTGGGGATTCTTTATTCATGATTTGTTTCAAAAGAATATTAAAGTCATTAGTTGTATTAAAGTGAAGATTGTCTCCAAGATCATCTTTGGAAATAATTTTCTATATAAGTAATAAAAATAAAATATAATAAATATCAAGCAAAAAATTAATTAAAAAAAAAGATTATAGATTCATTTATGAACAAACCGAATAAAAAGTATCAAAGTTGAATTCTTTATCATCTGATTTATTAACGCTGAAAAGATTTATTTCAATTTTTGATTCAATAAGATCCTTTAGAGAATGTGATGATAAGTGTTAGATCAAGGACTATAATTTCAATCCAAAACATGATTAAAATAAACCTTGGCACGAGTTATTGCTGTACTACGAAGAACTGGATTTGTTGTATGTGGGTTATCTTCATCAGTGATAAGAAATATTCTCTTAATCTTAATTGTTGTTGAAGATCTGATAAAAGTAAAAAAAGAGTTAACTATGTGCAGGAAAGAATATTGAAAAAAGTCGTATTTATAATAAGAAAATGGACGAACAATGAATTGAATAAATCATTGCAAGTCCAAAAGACATCTCCTAGTGGGACTTCTTCATTTGCATTTCCGTATTCTTGACTAAAATCAATTTGCCCTGGTTTTTACGAATAATAATTAATAGTAATATGGTAAAAGCAATAATAAATTACAAGACTTACCTGATGCTATATCATCTAATTCTATAATTCTGTGAATATCTGGTAAATCAATGGGCTGAAGCACATAAATGTGCTTTTTCTCAAGTGCATTTTGTGATTTTTCCTATCAAGTAGTGATGCATAATAAAAACCTTTGGATATAGAAAATAATCATTTAGAAAGTAATATATGATTACCGTTCCAAATAGCATTACACCCATAAGATCAGTGTCATTGCTAGTAATAATTTTATTCATCATTACAGTAGATGCACACCGAATAGCGGATTTAAATGGTGAATCTTCGTCACTCAACATTGATGGTGAACAATCGATAACAAAAAGAACAGCATCCCTATTGATGTTTGCGAGCTAACGCGTAATTTAAGTCCATATAATGACAGAATAATAAAAATGGCAATAGACACGAAAAACATGTTTGGGAATTACTTGTTTTTCAACTTCTTCAGCCTCTTCTTCCGCGTCGAACTCACTAGCATTAGACTCATTCACAACTGAAGAGGAACTACTCAACGTGGCTGTAGAAGACATTTTTGTCAAGTGAAGAATTGAAATTACAGAATTAGGCAGGGATACTAATTATATCACTTTTTATATGGTATATTTGATGCTATCACGTGCTTGATTGTTCCTGATTATTGTGGTACTGCGCGCGGAGTTTGGCGACGAAATTATTGCTGTGTAATGTTAACACTTATTATCTGAAAGTTATACTGTATAATTTTGTATTATTATAGAGAGACTAATACGTATCAAAATTAAATATTCTATATAGTAAAATGAAGGAAGGAATTTTCTTAAAATATTAAAGGCAGTTTCTTTTAGACAAAATTAAGTTATGGCCAATTTTTTCACACAAAAAATAAAAAAAAATTGTTTTTGTTGTACAAAGAAATTTTGTAGAACATGCCATATCTTAATTGGTCAATTGTGTAGTATTAGCATAACTGTATCAGGGACGATGATTTTCTGCGGCAATAAGTAGCCAATTCCGTCCGTGATAAGTCTGAGTTCTGCAGGCTCTGTGCAT